TCTCCAAGCCTCCGGGCTGTGCTCCTGGCCCTGTGCATGCTGCGGCTATGTGCATGCAAGGGGCATTTATCAGCCATATTATCAGCCATACCAGGCAAAAAAAAGCAGATTTCCAATACAGTATACCCCCAATTTATGCAATTCTGACTTATGCGTGTCTCGCATTTATGCAATTTTTTATTAGGGTCTGGACTGAAAAATGCCCTCAAGATGCGTGTCATTCGTGTATATACACAAATGTTCAAGCGATTTGCATATATACATGAACGTCTCACAAGATTTGCAGGCGGAATCAAGTGGAGCTGTGCCATGTGGTAGCAGCACCTCAAGATACATAGGTGAGACGCTAGATGTGCTTCCTAAAGGCGATTCCACCCAAAAAGGGGGGGTGGGGGGGAAGCTATGACTAAGGTATGTCTGGGGTATGTAACCCCTCACTATTCTATTATTTCCTACGGGGAAAAGTCATCCCGACTTACGCAAATCTGACTTACACAAAATTCCCCTGGAACACAATACTCGTGTAAATCAGGGGTCAACTGTACTGTCAATCTCCCTTGTATCGGTGCACCTCTACCTTTAAGATTTTAGGTACTTTGCAGCTTTTTTGGAAATAGTGGGAGTCTTAATAATCTTAGGGGGGCAGGGGAGAGGCTAAAGCAAACAAAAACCCTACAACTTAAGTTCTTTCTAGGTATGGAAGCTAAATGAGAAATCATGTTCTGTTCAAATCTGAGACTGATCTGCACAATTTAATCCTCTACTCTATGCTTTGCTCTGCCCTTGTCAGATTTCAGGTAAATGGGGTAATTCCCACTTTTCAAATGGTTAAGTCTCAAATCACCATTCTATCTATATTTGGAAGAGACTCCGTAACTACAGGAGGAGAGAGATCATTTTTTAAACTTGCTGCTTATAATTCTGCACTCTGAAATAAGAGTAAACTACTAGAAAAGACATGGATCAACTTAAATTGGCTCTGTCAAGGTGGAAAGTTGTACTTGTAAGACAAATGTACCACCAACAAAAATTCTATATTCTTTCCTGCAATAAAGGCCTGAAAAAAATCACCCCAAAGTCACTATGAAACAGAGATGCAGTTTTAAATTATAACTGCTTGAAAATTTGTTAAAGTTCAGATTCAAATCAGATTTGAGGCAGAAATGCCATGCAAGTCCTAAAGCTGCATGGGAACAAGGACCATAAAGCTTTAATCTGTTGAAATACCCAAAGAACAGCATCTTTCTTTTATTAACTGCACTTACCGATCAGATTTCTTTAGGTTTAGTGCAATAGTTTTAATGCTATTATTCTTTCTTAAATCTTCATATTCAATAGATTCCTGTAACTTCACCTGAAATGAGACGCATCAAAACACTAAATACAACCATGTAAGACCACACTGCACATATTCTGACAATGCATACTTTTCCAGACTGTGAAGCTTCCTGACTGAAGGTTAAAAAAAACTCCCAAAGTAAACAAAAAATAAAAACCAGACTGGCTCTGATACTCAGCTCTGACATAGTGCCATTCGGGACTATTTAAAATTAGGAAGATAGACGTGGCTTTTTGCTACCTGAAACTTATTCAGCCAGTGTCATGGAAGGCTGCCAAAGGTTGCAAAAGCCCTAAACTACTCCTAGGCATAGATGACCTTAGCGTTCACACTAATTACTAACAATGCAAAGGGGAGGAGATGGGGAATATCCTAGAAGCTGTGATTTTCCTTCAGGCTACCTTCTGACCCTCCTTAGGTCTGCCCATAGCAGACTGTGCTGGCTACATGCTTATGACTCCCTCAGCAGGGTGACACACAGTAGCCTTACAGAACTCTGACTTTAGCCAGTATCTCCCACCAAATCCTAATGACCTTACGCAGACATATTAACCTAACTTTCAGAGCTTGTCCTGAAATTCTAAGCTTGTCCAACTTAATTGCTTAGAGCAAGGGTGCTCAACCCCTAGCCTGTGGCACCACATCATCCAGAACACAGGGCTCCCCACAGGTCTGGAAATTTGGCAGTAGAAATTTGGTAAGTTTCCAGACCCACAGGGAGCCCCAGGCTGTGTATGCTGGACATGATACTGGATCCTGGTACTCAGGGCCAAGTAAGGGTGGCGCCAGGCCCCAGGGTCCCAATGCCAATGGGCAGAGGGCAGGAAGGGGTGGTGCTGTCGCACCCCTGGGGCCTAATTTGGCCTCATGCTATGCATTTGGCCTATGGGCCCAAAAGGTTGAACACCAGTGCCTTAGAGGGATTACATCTTCAGAGCACAAGTACCCAACACTTAGAGGTCAGACCAGATTACGCAGTCTGAAACTGGACATCCTAAATTCAAGGGACTTTATCTTCTCAAAATTCAGTAATGATTAAGACACAGTTACACTGGAAATTAGTTATTCTTATGAGGACTTCAGTACTGGGCTAAGTGTTTACATTTAAAAAACCCCAAAACATTTATTAAAAGAATGGAAATAATTTCAGTGTAACTTCTTATATCTTCAAAAAAATCCAAAGCCACTTCAGATCATTAAAAGCAACTTCAAAATGGTATTTGAAAAGCTTAACAGAGGAAACGCTTGTCAAACTATAATACCCTTTCAGAATGAAACTTGTTTCTCTTCAGTTGAAAATTCACTGGCAAATTTTAAATTTTATCCATACCTTTTTCATTGGTGGCTGAAAGAAATCCGAGTCTCTGGAGTTTCCATCTGTGCTGCTGGTCTCACTATAATGATCATTGTGCGCTTCTCTTAAAAAAAAAAAAAAAAAAAAGAAAAAAGAAAAAAAGAAAAACGTATTTGCTTCCCTTAATGTTAAGTCATGTGGTAGGATACTAAAAGATACTTAGACTGAAGATTAAACTAATTCAACAGGTATTTTATTCTAAATTATTTTTTATAATCTGCATTTAAGTATTGGACTCATGGGTTTAGCTCCAAAAGGTACATTCCTGAAATAGTTTTGTTTGACAGGGAATGAAGGGGGATAGATTCTTCCATCTCTGCACCAAGGGAAAGAAAATGGACTCAACATTAAATGGGACTGTAGCAACATCACTAGGTAGCAAAGTGATTCTTTTTGCCAAATCAAAATGTGTCAAACACCACATGTATCAGTTACTTCCATTGAAACATGCTGGGAGTGTGAGACTGTTGGGCATGCTACCTTTACCCTCACTGGCACTCCGTTTTCATAGGAAGGAAGGAAGGAAAGGAAGGAATAATATGCATTTGAGGAAAGAAATCTGTCCTGTTGGGAAGGACATATATTTAAAGGTCTAGCATTCAATTTAACACAAAAAACACCACAGGCAAACAGTTGCAATGAGGAAAAAACTTCCTCAAGAGAGTGACTGGATACATTCACTCTATGCAGGCAAGTGTGGTGGGACAGGAATCCCTCTGAAGCAACCCAGTAGACAACTGCAGCAGATCAACACATGAGGGGTTTTTTTGAGACAGACAAATAGAGAGATCTGTCTTATATACCAAATAAATAAATGCAGGTAAGGCTTCCCTCCTTTTACTTGAGCACTGGAGTATAGGGAGCCCTGCTCACTGGAATGCAAGTGATATGAACTTCTGCATCTGACCATACCTCTGCATAGGAAGAGCAGACAACTTTTACTGAATTTCAGACTTTGTGTATTTAACTTGGGATATAAGACTAGGGTAGAAGC